ACAGAGGAGTGTATCGAATTACGTGTCCTTCGACGTAAAACATGAAAGTATAATTTGTACAAATCACGTAAATCACAACCTTCTGGGAGCGCATTATTTCAGCGCAAGCAAACTCTACATTGGTTTTGACACTGAGTGTCTCATGAGCGAGATATTCACGTTTTCTTTAACCAATGATGACGAACTGTGAAATGTTATAGACAAGGGCTTTTTTTCGAGAGGGTTCTAGTTTGATGTAAACTTATATAGTTATACTTAACTCCAAATAATCAGCGTCGTTTTTTAGGATGTAAATAATAAAATCACAGAGCAGACAATGTCTTCTTCACATATCTGTCCCTCCGGATAAACAAATATACAAAGGTTTTTTTTTGCACATTCCCAAATAGGTTACTGAATTTATGAAGCCACAGACTGCTCTAAACTAATTCTTGGACGTTCTTATTTTATTTTGACTCTTGTAGCTTGCTGACCTGCCCATTCAGGACATCTGTGAAAAAGAGCTTCATAGATCATCGGATTTGCTTACCTTTCCTATACTTTTCACTCCTATCGTGTTTTTGAATTGTTTGTTGTAACTTGCTGACCCGCCCCTACTTAACAACTGTGAAAAAGAGATTTCATGCTAATCAGATTCCTCGCAGGGTAAATAAATATTCTGATTCTGATAAGTCAAAGGGCTAGCTCGGGATCAGTTACGAGAAAGGATGATTGATGGCTGACGGTCGAGACAAGTGTCAGCCATTTTATGGAGCCAATGAGATGAGTTTTTGGCAGGATCCACACCGTCAGGAATGGCGACTGACGGATTGGAGGGCGGGAGTCTTCTTCATCAAGCAGTGGAGAGATCACGGCTGCTGCTGATGACGCAGCTACGAAATTAAGGATGACAACGTAACCGATGTTATGTAACGTCTCTTCTTTTTTGTTCCATTGAAAATATGTTTAATCTGTACTGTGTTTTTTTGTGCAACTTCGTGTTTCGCCAAGGTCTTGTTGTTTCTATCATTGCGATATTTGTGTTGGGAGCCTCCGAGATCACAATGTGAACGGAAAACCTTATCCTGGGTTTTGAGCTGGCAGATGCCACCACGGTGACGGGCCGTGGAAACTATTCCACCGAAAGGGAGGCAATGCACCGCGTGAACACGTGTGCGCACACAAACACGCTCGCCACGCTTCAGTCAAGGACATAGGAGACAGGCGCATTGGCAAACCGAAGCAGTTCTGCAGATCGCTCGGCTACGGAGCGAGCGCCTCGCAGTTGCAAAGGTTGCGAGTTCAAATCCTGCTAGGATGGTCGACTCAGCCCATCATCATCATCCTTCGTGGTCAATTAAATGAGTCATCACTTTGTGGGGGAGTCAGCAATGGTTGTGCTATGGATATACTTTTCCCTGCCATAGGAATGTGTAATTTTCACCAATGGCTCAGGGCTGTAAACTGGAGATGATCATCGCCTCAACGCTCATTGCAACAATATTTTTACTTGTTGAAATATTTTCAACTGGATCATTTCTCGAAATTGAATATCTCGCATCGCAACGATGTCCAGGGTTGTCAATTGACGCTTCACAAAGATTCAACCTCGACTCGGCGATGCGGTAGTTGTGGAAATTTCACGCTCGCCACTTGGCCAATTTGTTGATAAACGTCAGTTTGCATTCCAGAAAGGAATACTCGACCGGTGGAGTGCGAGAAAAGTGTCACCTCTCAGAGGCGATGACAATATCCATCGAGTTTAACACGTGATAGGCTTTCGCGACCAACATCATCCATAATACAGGTTTTATTGGGTTAGATCGCGTAAATATATAAATGTATCGTTGAACCCACCACCACCTGACGCAGCCAATTAGTAAGATTTATCACGTAAACAGAACATTCAAATTCGTTACTAGTACAGCACACCGGTGTGTTGGAAAGCAAATCCACAACATTTACAAGTAATTAGCTGTGCCGGGTGGTGGCGGGTTTAACGACACATTTATGAGTGCTTACATGTAAGTTAGTGTTGGGATGTTTGGACAAAGCCATTTACATTGTGTTCATTTGTTTTAGCTATGGGAGGAAACCGAAGAACACGGAGAAAACCCATCCAGAACGGGGGGAGAGAATACAAACTCCACACAAAAAGGTACCTGAGTCTAGAATTGAACCCATGTTTTCTTGCTGCGAGGCACAAGCGCTACCACTACACCACCCCGCCGCCCTATTAGCCATTCATGCAATAATGTAATTGTATTATTAATGTACAGCCCTTTTCAATACACTGCTGGATAAAGGCTTCCCTGTGGTCGTGTGAGCTGTTTGACCATATTTCACAAATGTTTTGCTCCGGATGACCGCTGCAAAGTATGATCTTGTTTTGATTTAGTGTGCTGATCTTTAAAGGTGCATTGAAAATGTTTGATACTCCTACTGATGCTCCTGCTGTTGTGGAGTGACTCATTCAGCCAGCTATGGCTACAGGGTTTGGTGGTACATGTTGTTTATTGTGAAATTTCGGTCACAGTTCCTATGATCACTGTTACATTGCTTTTATGGCTTTATTTTGGTGATTTCGAAAACTTTTTTTGGTTTGGCCATGTTTGTTTGTTGTAGTACGGAGTTAAACTGATGGCTTTAATCTAAGTTGCCTTGTGGTTGTTGTTTGACTTGCATCCCACTGTGATTTTTGCACACAGCGTTGGTGTACTGTGCTTTTTCTGGACGATTTTGCTGTTTTTTCCTGGATTTTTCTGTTTTCGCATAGTCACTTTAAGATGTTTTCTTGTTCATGTTTTTGTTTGTTGCGGTTGCACCCGATTCAAGAGCTGAATGGCTCACAGGGCTATACCAAATAAATGAAACTAAATGAAACTGAAAACACTACTGGTTCTATGCGGGTTGGGGGATTATGTCCGTTGGAGGGGCCTGCCTCTACCTTGACCTCTTACATTCGTTATTTCCGATTCGTATGCGTTGTATATAATTAGGTCATGTGGAATCCCTGCCGCTACTAGAGGTGTACCATTCACGAACGTGGAATTAAAGTAAATTATTTCGAAATGCAACTGTGCCCCTGAATCACAATGTATGTATGTCGAACTTCTTTCGCACCGTACATAGTCAACCAACAGTGGGAAAATCATTGTGTGCCTACCCAGTAGACATGTCAACGTTGGAACGACGTTGGCTCAACGTTGGCATATGTTTAAAACCGTTGGCCCGTTTCATGTTTCTTGGGTAATTACCCTCGCTCACTACTGTAAGCCTATGATCATCACCAGTCTGGGTAAATCCACTGATGGATGAAGGCCTCCTCCGGCTGCCGCCTTATCTCATGATCCTGCAATATATTAAGTCTCTGAGCGTAATAATCAACACATCGATAGGGCGGTGGTGGTTACACACGCCTGTAATCCTGCACTGTGGAGGTGAGAGTTGCTGGATCCCACTAATGTTGTGAAACTCCCTTCCCGTGAGTGGGCATTGAGGAGGTGCCTATATCCAGGCTCACCGGGAGAAGGCAGTGAAGCAAAATGTGGACTTCCAACCGTTTCCACTGCGTGGGATATAGCGTTTCCCCTTCGCACGCGCGTCTTTTCTTTGGGTACCCCGGTTTCCTCTCACATATAAGCACTCATTAATTGGCTGATAACACCTTAATGTATAGAGGACCGCAGAGCTCCGGCAACTATTTGCGCTGGAACACCGCGTGGGTGCTGCCTTCCTACTTCTCGGTGGTTCCGCCTCACGCCTCTGAATCATCATTTATTTAATTAGCAAAATATCCTAATTGCAGGACACATTCTGAATAAGAGTCTGGAGACTCAGACTTTCTCTGTGTAAACGAAGGGCATTATTATAACTACTACCACTAACTGGCCAAACATCAAAGCAATTCCCCTGGATAGGTGTTAGACTCTGCACAGTATAAGGCTTTTGAGTAGAATGGTAGCGCTGTGGTTAGCGCACTGCGCGATGAACCCGGTGACGATATCAGTTACATTGCAGGCCACGGCTCACATCAGTGGCGAGTGATATCCGAACCGGTCCTACGTGAGTCCTGACACCTTGATAAACCCACACTAACCAGCGTAGCCTGACACGTTTGTTACAATATGGGTGCGTCACAAATTTAAGTGGCTTTGCTGTTGCTGTGAAACTCGGTTCAAGACAAAGACACCCCATATAGCCTTTAACAGACTGCTGCCGCAAATGCTGTCAGTGAGCACCTATTAAGGCCGTCACGGCATACAAGGCGGTGGGAAGGCCAGCACCACATCTGCCTTTGTCTCCCCAATGCTGATTTTTACACACCGCACCCCCAGGTGCTCATTTTAAGGCTGAGTCGACCACGTGGAGGCCCAAGACCGGTTGGTCCGTGAGTGGAAATGGAACTCGGGTGAACGGATTTGGTGGAGCAGTCCCGTTTCCCATGCTGTCAAAACCTGACATTGACCAACACCGCAAGAGGAGGTACATTTGTAACGCACCAATATTATCAATGTATTGACAATGATAATTTAATAATGATTTACACTTCTAAGGCCCCTTTCACCCGGAGATCACAAAGCACGGGACAAAGCACACGAACGTGTAGGCTCACAGCAATCAGATCCAACCCCAAAACATAGGATTAAAGAAATAAAAATCCCTTCCAAATAAGTGCCTCTTACGGCACGATTTGAACAAAATGAGGGATTTAAATAGGCTTTGCCTCGGTAAAGAGAGATTATGTGTATATGTATTTGCTATTAACTATAAAAATTGTTAACGAAGCCCCCTAAAACAAACCAGATCAAGAGTGACTTGCCCTTGTGCAAGGAACGTCATTTGCCCTGTGTTTACCCAACACAGAGTTGTGGCGAGCCACAGGACTCGTTTGGGTGGGTCCTTGCGTGCCAAACCGAGGCGAGCAATGTGGCCCTTTCCGCTTAAATCCAGCAACGGCGTCACTCCTCCAAAAGGTGGTAGGAACTGGTCACACCGTACAAAAGACTAACAGAGGGATGTTCGTCAAAACATATATATATACCGGCTTACTCTTGATAAGTGCATTCGGTATGTTGCGGAGCTGACATTTGGCTGTGGGGTTTTTATCAAGGAGTCGGAGTTTGGCGTTCAGAGGTAGTTGAGTCAGTGGCAGAGAGTGCTGTGTGTGGGATCCCCCATCAAAGAGCGCATTGTGTTTGAAGTAAGTGCCTCAATTATATCATAATTGCGCTAAATTACCTTCTCGTATTTTGTACAATGTGTTTGTATTTTGTACAATGTTTGTTTACTCGGCAATGTTTCCGTCGAGCCAGCCTATTTTAAGGGTCATTTGTCTAGTTCCCGTTGGCAGTATTTTATTATTATTTAGTGTGGCCATTGGTTTTGATTAGCGCTGTTATTGTATTGTTGCGATGAACAAAACAAATAGCTTAGAAAGTAAGCTCCCGTTCCATTGTGCACGCCGCACAACGTCTTATGTCCCATTCGCTGGGTGGGGGGCTGAGGTAGAGGCGGATATTCGAAAAGGTCGATTATGTGAACATCTATATCAGGGGTCGGGAATCTTTTTGACTGGGAGAGCCATAAAAGCCAAATATTTCTAAATATATTTCATTGAGAGCCATATAGTATTTTTTAACGTATAATAAGTTAAATATGTCTTACTTTTAATGCGACTTCTGGTGCTGAATGGTTTTGCTGATGGCCTTGTAGTCTGGTTCATACGACGTGGTGAGGTTGAGCTTCATGCAGGCGTGACCCGTGAAATGTATCTTCAAAACTAATTTCTGTTTACTTTAAAATGACACGGTATTATTCAGCAAATATCACAAGTATTTTAAAATCAGTTCCAAACTGATTTTTATTTTTATTTTTTTATTTTATTATTATTTTTTTTCAACTCAAAATTGTATGGGAGCCATATGCCGTCACTGGAAGAGCCATATATGGCTCGCGAGCCATAGGTTCCCGACCGCTGATCTATATGGATGACAGTAACATTATGCACAAATGGGATTTAAGTAAGCTTAACCTGTGATAACTTGCTTTTTTAATATTTGCATTACGTCCATTGTTGTTTGCCACGAGATAATTATCCCATTATAGGTGGAACCAATCATGTCAACTAAATTAAACACTGCACTGGGTGTTGGCAGTTTATTGGCCAGGGTGGAAATATGACGTTTGTACAGCATATATACAATTAATTGGAGGACGATAGGAATTTCATGGCAGAGTATCCAGAATATAATGTGGCAAAAGGGAATAATGGTCAAGAGGAGGAGGCGGCTGTCATAATTTGGGACTCGTGTGCAGGGCGGAGGAGGAAGAGGGCAGGTGACCAAGACGGGCATTGCAGTGGCCCCCCAGAGGTTGGCAGTCAAGGAAGGGGAAGACCTGAAGCCAGACGTTGGGGCACTTTGCGGGAGCTGACCTGTTGATCAAGGAAGGGGGAGACCTAAAGCCAAACGTTGAGGCACTTTGTGAGAGCTGACCTGCTGACCGAGGAAGGGGAAGATCTAAAGCCAGAGGTTGGGGCACTTTATGGGAGCTGACCGGCTGATCAAGGAAGGGGAAGACCTGAAGCCAAACGTTGAGGCACTTTATTAGAGCTGAACTGCTGCTGCTGCTGTTGCTGTGGTACACGGACGTGTCAAATGTGCAAACATTTGTGGGGTCTGAGAAAATGAGATCAATGGCAGGACGTGGTGGCATTAATGGCTGGGATGATCACTTGCGTTTTAACCTTCGACCTTGTTGGAGGAAACCCGGGTACCCAAAGAGTGTAGTGTACACTTTGCTAGGGTGCATTAGTATAGTTATACGAATGCAGCAGCCGATGACCCAATTCAAACAAATGCACCCTATATCATCAGATCTAAAAGATAACCAGAATTGAACCTGGGTCGTGCTGGTTTGGTGAACACGATGCATGTCAAGTTGTTATAGTTTGCTGTGAGGCTACAAGGTGGGAAAGCACATGACTGTGCAGAACTATCTATTGTTGTGCTGTACTTTCTATGCTCTCACGTCTATGCTGCACCCCCCTTTACCAACCGGCACTAACCAGCGTGGTGAAGTATAGTCAAACAACCCACGTGACCTACGTCAGGCCTTCACCCAGCCGTGGATTGACAAAGGGATATCATTTAATTTCAACATTATTATTTTACGAGTATTGTATGCAAGTTGTGGAAACTTCATCCTAAAATCTGCGCTTTCTATGGACTTAACCCGAATGACTAATTGTGGTGTACTCATCGATAATTTTGGGAGGACAGAGGCGTGCGGCGAGGGAGGTGGTCACGGAACGTGCACCATCGCTTTAAATTCCACGCTGGAGAGGGAATCGAATCGATAGATTCTGGATTGCAAGTCAAGTGCGCTTACCCTTAACACCACCACAGGTGCATAGTCAACGCCATGTCAACACAGATATAAGAGGAGAGGTTTCTCCACTATTGGCACGTTTATCGAGTAACATGATTGTGCTTTTCTTTAAAATTTCAGGACATTGAACGGCGGAGAAGATGAAGCGGAGGACCACCTCGGCTGTGCCCACCGTGTCGGCGCTAGTGGACGGATCGGGCCCTCCAGGGGCCGCTGCAGAGTCGCGGAGGCCCAAGCGACTCATCAACAAGGACGGCTCGAGTAACGTGGCCATCGCCAACGTTCACGCGCACTGCTGGGAGTACTGCCGCGACACGTGGACCTCCCTGCTCGAGATGGCCTGGGTCTGCAAGCTGCTGCTCTTCCTGTCACTGACGCTGGGCATCGTCGGCCTCTTTGGCCTCCTGTGGTGCGTCCCAGGAGCGTTAAAAGTGCCTCGCTCACGGGGGCAGCACACTTGGCGGCCGGCGGCCAGGCCTGACTTTTCGACTCAAGGGCATTTTCCCCTGGTCTCATCCTTGGTCTCGGCCTCGTGGTTGTTTCTGAGTCCCAGGACTTCGAGAACTTGGATCTTGTTTCAAACCGGTTCTGGTGTCATTTTTCCATCATCGTAATTTTCACAACATTGCAAAATGTTGACCGATTTCTGATTTTAATAAAAAAAAGCGTTTTCTTCCGCCACATATTAAATTGTGAGGTTAATTAGATGCAACTTATCGGATTTGTTATAAAGTGTTTGGCAGTTAGCGTACGAGCTTTGCTCACGAGCCAATCGGCCAGCAAAGATGCGGCCTTGACACTGGCCCCGACGTAAAAAGGCCTCGGCCTTATGGCTCTTTTAGTCTCGGACCTCAGCCTTGGCCTCACGGCCCTGCATCCAAGGCTGGCATCATCTCATCTACTCGATGGGGCTGGGTGTTTGGCACGGGGTTTATGCTCATGTTGAGCCACTTTGCGGCATTTGGTTCACACTCTGTGGAGCTCCGTGAAGTTTTGAAGGCCCACTGCAGGGCAGAGACGTCATGACCAAGATCGTGCGGCTGGGTTTCTCTCAGAGAGTTTGTCTCAACCACTGGCCATCATCCCTTCTCATAGCTCGCTTACCTTCTTTAACCTCGAATATTAGTTGAGCGGTAGTGGCTATGCATAGGTGTAATCCAGCACTGTCTATGTAAAAGTTGGTGGGTTACGCAGCTATTGTGAAACTTCATTCCCGTGGGCTTCAGGGTGCGATACCTTGGCTTGCCAGAATAATGCGGTACAGCAAAGTGCAGACTAATAAAATCTGTTACATCTGTACGGGATAGAATGTTGCCCCCTTGAATCCGTGGGGGGGTTTTCCAGGTGCTCCAGCTTCTTCCCACGTGTAAACACTCAGTAATTGGCTGAAAATATCTTCATATTTAGAGGACCACAGAACTTGGAAAATGGATTGGAGCGCCGGCTCACCGCCTGGCTGCCGCCTTCTCACTTGCTGTGGTTCCTCCTCACGTCTCCGGGTCATCCTCTCCCTGCAAGAGTGAGCGAATACTGTGCGGAATTTAACATTATTACGTATCTTGTGTATCATATGAAATCCACGTGTTCGTCGTTCCTGTGCAGTGTAATTCCAAGTGTGTACTTCGCTAACTTTTGTTTAGATTTCGTTGTCGTTATCAACGCTTTTCATCCATATGGCCTTGCAGCCTAGTAGGTAATATGCACTGATTGGATGTGTTATTATTGCGTCACATTTTCTCTGTTACTTTTCATGATCTATTTCAGTTTTCTGAAAGTGTTCCATCCCATCGTACTCTGCAAGTGCACGATGGGATGCAACACAATTCGTTAAATAATTATCCTGTTGTATTTTCCACTTATGTCCCTCCCATACCGATTTCTAGTCATCAAACATGTTGTAAATGACTTTTGTTTTGTGTTAAGTTCACAAATAACAACACTGCGCTATGAACCCGGTGACCAGAATATTTCCCCCCCCCCCCCATGGCTAACCTTAGTGGTGAGTAATATCCTCTCCCCCCCTCACCAACCTGCACGAATAATGATCAAGCAGCCCCCATAACCAACCAGAACCTGGGAAGGGCCTCATCCAGCCAACAGATTGCAAATCACGTCGATCTTAACAACGACAAAACGCGATGTTTCCTCTGCGGCAGGTACGCACTGGCATTGCACCACGGCGACCTGACGCGCCCACCCACAGACGCAGAAGCCGGCGCCGCCGCCCCCTGCGTGATCAACATCGTGTCCTTCGGCTCAGCCTTCCTCTTCTCCCTGGAGACTCACGCCACCATCGGCTTCGGCGTGCGGCGCGTCACCGACGCGTGCCCTGCCGCCGCCCTCCTCCTCACGCTGCAGATGCTGGTGTCGGCCGCGACGGACGCCCTCGTCGCCGGCGTCATCCTCGCGCGCCTCGCGCGCCCGTCGAGGCGCGCCGGCACCGTGCGCTTCGCCTCCCGCGCGCTCGTCGTGCGGCCGCCGAACTCCGAGCGAGGCGCGAGCGGCGCCCCCCGGCTGCTCGTACGCGTGGCCGACGCGAGGCCCTGCTGCCTCGTCGAGTGCTCCGTGTCAGGGCGGCTCCTGCGCGTGTCGCCGGCGAGCGGGGCCGACGGCGGATGCGGCGACGGGCGCTTCGTTACCCTCGCGCAACGCGACGTCGAGTTCACGGTGGACCGCGGCGGGCGGCAGCCGTTCCTGACGCTGCCCGCCACGCTCACCCATGTGCTCGACGGGCGGAGCCCCCTGCACGGGCTAACAGAGGGCGGCCTCCCTGACGGGCAGCCGTTCGAGATAATCGTCGCGCTCACAGGCGTCGCAGACTCCACAGGTAGAGAGCGTCGACTCTCGATTATGGCGGGGTGATGGAAGGTGGGGTGGGGGGGCTAGGGGACCGTAGCATAGTCGGTGTGAAGTTCAAAATACGCAATCGCATCACTTCCCAAACCACCTGTTCCGTGAAGCTGAGCTGTTGGTGTGAGACGTTCACAAAAAAAAAATTCTTGATAGGATTCACAGCAAAAGTTAAAATCGTGCAAGGATTCACAAGTGGCCAGCTTCCCGTAACAGTCCGGTTCTCGGCGTGTAGCTGATGCAATTGTGAATATCGGACGAATATCCAACTTTACCATGCTGGAAAGGGGTGGCCCGGATGAAGCGAAGACGCAGATAGTGCCAACCGCGTGTACACAAGCCTTCTCTGGTTCTCATTGTAACCACGTGTTGTTCCGCACGATGTAACAATGAGTGACGTTGAACAATAGGGTGTGCGCGTTTAACCGACGCAACGGAGCCAGTAAAGTTGCACGTGTGGGATTTCCGCAGGTGCTCTTCCCGAGATGGAGAGAGTTGATTGGCCACCATAGCCACTCTCAAGCCGAGCTGATGGGAGGGTAAAGAAGTAGTAGATGGAGGTGTGGATGTGTGAAACGGTGACGCAGTGGTTATCAGCACTGCGCTATGAATCACACCACCTGAGTTCAATTCCCGGCTATGGCTAACATCAGTGGCCTTCATCTAGCAGCGGATTGACAAAGGACTGTGCGTTTTCCAAGATGCATAAATAATTTGACATTGCTTCATCTAAAATGGCGTTAATCGGATAACACAACTGGGATATAATTGCTGATCATATATGCACACACACGTTGCTACACGTATTGATATTTGTGTTTGTTTTTGATTGTACAGGTGCAGTCTGTCAAGCCCGTACATCCTACCTGCCCTCAGAGATCCTGTGGGACCATACCTTCTCGCCCACCATGTCTCTCCTGGCACAAGGAGGCTTTCGGGTGGACTTGACTCAGTTTGACAAGGTCTTGCCATTGCCTCATTTTCAAGTATAGAGCTTCATGATTTAACTCTACAGAGGCAGAATGAAGGTATTAGAGCCTTAGAGAGAGTGACTAATATTCTCGAGAAGGTAAGGGAGGTGAGACCTAGTTGATTTGGACACGTGTTTGAGAAAAGAGATTAAGAAGGTGAATGAGAAAGGCTCTGGAGTTGCCATCGGTGCAGGCCATAAGACAGACGGAGACCGAGAGTGATATGGGAGGACGCGGTGGAACGAGAGAGTGGAGGTGACATGAGAAGAGACGCAGAGTTGAAGCACGTGCATAAAGAAAATGTCCCTGCGTTAATGGGACCTCTGGCTGAGGATAATAAAATATTGGCTCAGCAGAGATCACCTTTCATAATTCCAGGGCCTTCCAAAAACAAAACAAAAAATCAACGTGGAATCCTACTTATCTGATCGTGGTGCAATGTGCACCTCCAGTTTCTAGCTGAGCAAATTCCGAATTCCTATGGCGGGGAGAAAGTCTTTCCATAAGACACTCTTTACTGCCTGACAAAGCAATACTCATCGGGGGATGAACCCCACCGACCGACTTGAATTTGAACGCGTCACCTTCCAACTGTGAGTCCAGTGCACGACGAACTGAACCACGCAGGCAGATAAAATCCAGCAGTCATGTTCACACTACTCATTGCTGTGCCCGTTAAATACTGTACTTTATTCTGTGGATCACGACGCAACTTTTGACCCCTGTCATTTAAAGGGGTGCATCATACAAGCATGTGTGGTATTGGGGAGTGGAGGCGCAGGGGGTAGTGTGCTGCACTCCGAACCCGGTCAGCCGAGTTCGATTCCCTCTCTCGGACGGCACCAGTGACGATTATCTGAACCAGTCATGGGCCTCCCCAAAGTCGGCTCAGCCGCAAATGATTACCTGGTGCGGTGTGTAAACATCAGCACCAGGGAGGCAAAGGCGGCCATGCGTGGTGCTGGCCACCCACCCCTAGTGTGCTGTACTCGCAAACACCACTTGTCCCAACAGCCTGTTAAGGCTGTATGGGGGCTATTTGTCTGACCAAATCTGTATAAATGTATTGACAGAGCGTAAAAGTTAGTGGGTGAGTCTTACTTTAAGGAGCGTCTTATAATCAGGAGAATACAGTACGTCTCTCAGTCTGAGAATATTTGACATGTTTCCACGGAAGCTAACAAAACACTAAACCCAACTGTCGGCAAACGTAACCACAGAGTTTGCCAATGCTAATAAGTATGTGCAGCTTTAAGGCAGGTTCAGCAATAAAATATTTTTAAAATATTTTCTAAAATAAATAAATAGTTATATACTCTACATCAGCGCGATTAGTGATTGTGTGTGCGCACATGTGAGGATGTGTGTGTGTGTGTGCGTTTGCTCGTTTCTTCATCCACGCAGTGTTTAAATAATATTCCAACCGCCGAACGAAATGGAGGCTCCCTTAATGGACTGGTTACCCAACTTGCTTCGACGTTTTCCAACAAGGGAAGCCCCGCCGATGGTGAAGGAAGGTTGCCTGTCGACATTGTGAAGGAATTTCATGGGACAACCGAGAGCTGTGTGGAGTAGAGAAGAGGTTTCACCAGGACTAAAAAAAGGCCATAATTGTGCCACGACATTAAGTAAACACGACACGTTCGTCAATAACACTGTGTGGTCTTAAACGGAATAAGTACGTACAGTAGTAGGCGACGTTTCGGGCAATGGCCCTTCTCAACTCATAGGGAGACCAGAGAGAGAGAGATAAGCCAGAGAGGTAGAGTGGATAAGAGTTTAACTCTTAAGAGCTGATCCCTTATCCACTCTCATACCTGTCAACCCATGCGGTTTACCTGTATTCTTGTACAGGGAAATTTAGTTTTCAGGTCCATACGGCGTACAACCGTTTCAATACGGGCAAAACATATATTTGTGTGTATTTCTTTGTGTTTCTCCCCATGTGATGGGACTTTGTAGGATGAACGTTGAGATTTATAAGGGCACGGGGTGACCAATAAAGTCTAAATTGGTCTGTAATAAGGTAGGGCACTGATATGGGGTTGACAGGTATGCACTCTACCTCTCTGGCCTCTCGTACCTGGAATGTCGCCTGTTACATGCTTTTTATTTTTAAGGTCACAGTGCTGTTGACGAATGCGTTGAGTATTTTATTGTTTATGCTTGTGCACCACTGCCAACGTTGCAGTATAACCAAACAATTTGTTTCAACGAAGCTAAAACTATCATGGGGACCTTTTTTTGCCAGTATAAAAGTATGAAAAATAAGAATAGATTTTACCCTATCTGCCAATTAAACAGGAGGTGTTAAGATGTTCAAACACCAAATAGAAACCTTTTGCAAGGAATCGAGTGTGCATTAACGAACGTAATTGTGGTGAACATGCAAACAAACATTCTTTCATAAGATATGGTATTGTCTTTTAAACTGATTGGCGTACACTAGAGGCAACAGACTTCTTTAGGGCCTAGTCTCACCAGCGTCAGACCAGAGAACACCAAAAGGCGAACAGTACAAGGACAATGCACTATGAGGGCATTCATAGCTCGGGGTGAGCAGCTACAAAATGGGACCCTTTTTCAAGTATCAAAGTATGAAAAATAAGAAAAGGTGTTAGGGGCTTCCATAAATGACGTCACGCGATTTTGGACGATTTTTGACCCCCCCCCCCCCCTAGTCACACAGCGTCACAAAGTCAGACCCCCCCCCCCCTCAAATATGACGTCACAAAGCTCTGCCCCCCAAAAAAATATATAAAACATGCTTCAAATCGCTTTAAACTATTGTCATTGTAGTGCGTATTTAATGTAGCGCTGCACTGTGATGTTGTATGTTGTAGGAGAAAAAATTTATTAAAAAGTATATTTCATTAAGTAGAACGTGTTGTCTAGATTTATTTAAAGTTGAGAATTGTGATTGTGATTTCACATTTCTCAACCCCCCCCCCCCTTCGTCACACATCGTCACAAATGTCTGACGCCCCCCCCCCCCCCCAGGTGCGTGATGTCATTTATGGACGGCCCCTTACCCTTTATGGCAATACAACATGTGTTAAGCTGTTCAAACAACAAATAGATACCTTTTGCAAGGAATCAAGTCTGTATTAAAAAATATCTGATGATATAGCTGCTCACGCCGAGCTATATATGCTACGATACATGCATTGGCATTGTACTGTTGACCTTTTGGCGTTCTCTGTTCTGACACTGGTGAGACTAGGCCATAAAGAAGGCTGTCTCTGGTGTAGGCCAATCAGTTTAAAGATAAATGCCCATATATTATCAGAGCACGTTTATTTGCATGTTCACCACAAGTACGTGTGGTTAATGCAGTAACGTGATTACTTGCGAAATGTTTCTATTTGGTGTTTGAACATCTTAACACCGCCTGTTTTATTGCCAGAAAAGGGTAAAACCTATTCTTACTTTCTTCAAAAGCTAAAACGGTTTACTTTTAACCTCATCAAGTTTAGCTGATTAACGGAAGCATGTTACAAAGGAGATACCTTTAATCAGTGTATTGGTAGTTACATTTTAACGTGCCATTTAATTGAGGGACTTTGTGTTGTCGTCTTGGTGTGGTCTGTGACCGTTGTTGTTTGCTGCCTTGCCCAAGCTTGCATTTAGTGTTTAAACATCGGATTTGTATACGTGTATTTATTTTCTTACCTTTGTATCTATTTTACACTGTTTTTATATTGTTTTTGTTACTTGCTGGCCCAACCCCGACTGTGAAATTTAGCTTCATAGCTCATCACTCTTCCAGTATAAATACAAATTACGCTTATGCTGCCATCTAGTGGTTATGTTAAAGTTTTAACGTTGCTTTCGTTTAACCGCGCGATAACTCGATAGGCCAGGATGTCTCATTCGCAAGAGTGACCCAGAGCTCACTGAACCGACAAAAGACAAACTAGTAAAGTCAAACTCTTTGGTTCTTTCGGTAAATTCACGTAGGTAGAAAATAAAATAAATCACGACGTTTCGGGCGCAACACAAGCATCCATCATCAGGTGGGAAAGCATGGTCTGCTGCTGAGACAGACTGTTTTAAAAAGGTTTGAAATGGGTGTAGCCCAAGGGTCATAAAAAAGTGGCCGGGGCTAGTGATGTTAACGTGAGAAATGAACATGTAACTGTAAGATAGGAGGAGAGCGGCCTCCTGGACTAGGGCACGGAAGTGGCTATGTTAATGTGGGGGATTAGCATGATGCTAATGTGAGAAATTAGAGGGCATGGAAGTGTCTATGTTAATGGTAGGGATTAGCATGATGCTAATGTGAGAAATTAGAGGGCATGGAAGTGTTAATGTGAGATATTAGCATGATGTTAATGTGAGAAATTAGAGGGCACGGAAGTGTTAATGTGAGGGATTAGCATGATGTTAATGTGAGAAATTAGAGGGCATGGAAGTGTTAATGTGAGGGATTAGCATGATGTTAATGTGAGAAATTAGAGGGCACGGAAGTGGCTATGTTAATGTGAGATATTAGCATGATGTTAATTGGAGAAATTAGCATGCAACTGTAGAAAAGTAGAAGAAGAGCGGCTTCCTCGATGAGGGAGTGCAACCCAACGGGTGTAATCCAAAGGGCCTGTGAGCATGAGAGTGCAATCCAAAGGCATGAGAGTACAATGTAAAGTCAAGTACACTGCAGCAATGAAGCAAGTAGAAATCAGGGCAAAAAAAACTGTCACGCGAGAAATGGAAAACACTCCACAAACAAATCAGTGTTCAATACATTCCCTGTTTCGTGAGGCGGCTTGGGCAGATATTTTTGAGACTGATCACAGCAGAATTATTGTGCCAAGATATATTATTTTGTTTTACCAGGGAAGACCCACTGAGCTACACAGCTCTTTTTGTCAAAAGCGACCTGGCCACAAATGATAGCTCAACGAAGTTGGATTATCATGTGGAAAGTTATAGCAGTTAAATAATTCAAACACATGATGTTGATTCTAAATGTGGAGGGGAAATACCGGAGAACCCGGACAAAAATCCACTTGATCACAGGGAGATAGAGACATGCCGACTCCAAATATACACGCATCAGTCGGGATCGAAACCCACGACCTCCTGTATACAAGGTGAGGTAGTTAACATATCGCCACTGTGGCAACCCTGAATATAAGAGCAACACTGTACGTGCAACTGGTTTTGACATAGTTTGTCGTACTGTATTGATTTGTGCTTGTACAACACAAGGCAATCTGTGACAATTGGCTGAGAGTGAGTGGGGTTCTTCTCTCCTCGGCCGGGCGGTGTTGGATGAACCCCCGTCCCAGCCTGAGTGAGAGAGCCCAAGGGATAGCCGAGGTTAGGATGAGTAAAACTTGGGGGTCCACGGGAAGGACCGAGTATAGAGAACACCTACCCCTGTTGTGAGCCGAGTGTTTAAACCATGTCAATAAACGGCGCAAGCCCTTACAAGAAGTTCTGTCTCCGCGTGGTTCTACAACGCAACAACTGTATAGCTTTACAATATATTTTTTGTATTTCAGGTTTACAGTATTTATGAGGCCGATTATCAAAGTCATCCCATTGATACCACACCTCCCAATCAGTAACATTCACGTGTGTCTCGAGCTCTGTGGGGTCACACCAAGGTTATGTAGGGGGTCACGATGAGGAGACGAAGGGGTCACGCCGAAGAGATGTAGGGGGTCACGCCGAGGAGACGTAGAGGTCACCGGACCGCGCCATGGGAAAAATAAAAGGCACAAAAATTAGCACGGGGATTGGGGACCCTAAAGATATGGTGTTGGTGAGAAAGAAGGCAGGAGGGGACAGCACACTCGTGTGTTGGAGAGCTAAGCCACAACATTTACAATCTGAGTAGGACGTTTCGCCAGTAATTACAACTAGCTTCATCAGGCGACAGCCAGATTTGTGTAGAAATTATTCTGTTTCGGTCCTTAAATAGAGCGATAGATGTTTAATACGTAGGCTTTTGTGACCAATATTATCCATAATACAGTTTTTGGGTTAGATCGCGTATATGTATAAATGTGTAGTTAACCCGCCACCACCCGACACAGCCAATTAGTAAGGTTTGTCACGTAAACAGAACATGCCAATTCGTTACTAGCACAGCACACCGGTGTATTAGAGAGCCAAGCCACGACATTTACAACCCGAGTATGACATTTCGCCAGTAATTGCATGATGAAGCTAATTATAATTACCGGCAAAATGTCATGCGTCTAGCTGGCCACCCACCTCCTCGCGTGCCGTGCCAGCCTCCATGAGCGTTACTCTAACAGCGCTCGCCCCGCCAATCCATGAAGGCTATCGGCGTGATCTTTGTGTGCAGATGAGAGGCCGGGCGAGCAAGGTGGAGGTGACACACACGGAGCCGCCGTGACCCGCCAGGCGCCTGCCCTCCCCGGCCGCCCCCACGCCCCACGAGCAGCACTCCTTGTCCCCCCTCGTGTCGCCTCCTCCGGTCGCTCCACCACCTCAGCACCAGTTCCCCGTGTCCCCCGCGCCCCCCAGCCCGAAAACGGTGGGTGCACCATGACCATGGCGATGGGTTCACATTGTATGACCCCCCTCCCCCCATTCAGAGTATTTGGCTGCTATAAATATCCACGTGATAAGCCACTTCATTGAGCTGCCATCATTTACGATGGCCAGGTCGCTCCTTTAGTGGGCCTTACCTGGTAAAACTGAAACTGAAAAAGATAGTTAAGTTAATTCTTGTGCACAATGGCAGCAATATGTACGCCTCCTCATCACTGTTCCATCGCTACTCGCTGTTCATGTGAACTTGCACAGGAACTCAGGCTACCAGAATGACCGTTTCATCTAATTCACACTTCAACCACCACCAACTACCACACTACAGCTCACAACAACGTACCCACTACTCACCCAACCACCAACCCACTCACCCATTCACTCACGCACTCATCACCCACTCACCACACTGCAGGTCACATCGCTTCTCTTTCTGCTTCTTTCCTCGCACTGCTCCACTCTGGAATTCCCTCCTCCCATCATCGTATCTTTTCCCCAAGCTCTTATGATAACATTGCTCGATTCAATCAACGTATCGACTCGTATCTATTACAATGTTAACAGCGCTGTTTGTCGCTTTACGCTTGGTGCTTTGGGCCTGCACTCAGCAACCGCGATTTGTAAAAAAGATAATCTCAGGCGGTGGTGAGCCAGCCGATTTGCTATGTCCCTCAGAGAGGGCGCTGGTGGGGGGGGGGGCCGATCACCCGATCGGCGGGGGCCCAGCGAAAGGTGGCCACCGAGGAGGAGTGGAGTGGGTGGACGTCGCGCCCCGCACGCTCACAGGGAGCGGGGAGGCGGACGTCGGCCCCCACAATTTGATGTCAGAGATGTTACGACTCCCCACACTTCCAAGGGAGCGACGCGCCACACCCCAAGCGAAGGTAAGATACGTATTCACCGGACAAGGTATTCCGTCATGGAAATCGTTTGCCCGGAACCTCACGTACGCAAAAGATATTAACAGCTGGACGGACGCGCAAGCGTTACAACAGCTGAGTATGCACTTGGATGGGCGGGCAGCCGACTTTGTAGAAGCGCTACCTGCAAGCACACAAGCGCATTGGGGAGAGGTAATGCACCGCCTCGGGCAACGCTTCTGTGCGTATGACCGTGAGGAGCAAAGGCAGCATTAAATGCACGCCCCTGCCAGCCCGGTGAGGACCTCCGCAGCTACGTCGAGGACGTGCGCTCGCTAATGCAGAGCGCACGACCGGGATGCGCTCCCAAGATCGTTGTTGACCCCGCCGCTGAGAAAGTGCAGCAGTATCTGATGAGCACGGCGTGGTGGAAGCCAGATGCAAACTGCCCGTATCCCCCACTTAACACCCTTGTCGAGCGCGCGCGTGCGCGCGTCGGAGAGATTTGCTCATGAGCGCGTGCAGTTCCGAGGGCTGGGACGGGAGCGCACCAAAGCAAGCCACCTTCCAGGGGAGGAGGAGCTCGCCAGGATAGTGAGGTAGGGGGGGGCAAGGGAGGCTCCGGAACTCCGTGAAAAAACCCCGGGATGGGTAGCAGGGATACAGACTAGCATGGGGGATATAGCCGGCCATGTAACCCAAGTAAGCGAGGAGGTGACCCAAGCACACAGGGAGGTGACCCGAGTACATGGGAATATGACCAAGCTGGAGTCTACAGTGGAGACAGTCCAGTCCCAGGTGGGAGGACTACGCTCCACGGTAGGGGGGATAACCGGGCGGGTGTCTCAATTAGAGGCAGAGCTCGAACAAATGCGCACTGGGAGGGGAAGGGGAGCGAGCAAAGGGGCTCTTATGGAGCCACCACCCTTCCCCGGGCATGCTATATATGCGACCAACGGGGACATCGCTCGAGAGACTGTCCCCAGATCGCCCGCGCTAGACAAGCGCCAAGGTTAAACACCAAGGCCTCCCTAGAGAGGGGACCAACGAGGGGTGAAATCGACGTGGTCCCAATACAAATAAACTGTAATGATAATAAACTTGATTTGAAGCTTTCGTGACTGCAGGAATTACTCTTTGGTTCTTTCGGTAAAGTCACGTAGAAATAAGATAAAATTAATAATAGAATACGACGTTTCGATTGCAACACAAGCAACCGTCATCAGGTATGAATTAATGCAAGCTTGGAGAGAGACACATACAGAGAGAGAGAGACAAACAGACACGGAAAAAGACACATACACAGAAAGGCACAGAGAGAGAGAGACAAACACACAGAGAGAGAGACACACAGAGAGACACACAGAGAAATAATGCCTCTGTGACGAGGCATTATAAATAGAGAGGGGGGGGGGGGAGCAGGGAAATTAGCATGTCAATGAGAGCGGCAGGGGGAGAGAAATAAGAAAACAAGCCTAGTAAAATTTAGAAATGTAATGCAATGCAACACAGAGAGTCGGCTAACACAACAGTTAACACTTTACCGGGTTGATTACATTCTTCCAAAGAATAGCTCCTTGAACCTAACTGCCAATCAATCTCGGTTAATCAATGTTTTTCCTATAGTATGTATCAACACTTACATCTTTGTCGGAGCGAGCGCGATGCGGTTTTAAACCGGCTCTATTATGCAATATGTAACAAGCGGAGGCATAATGCCTGCAATTATCATTGTTTTACAGACACGCTTAACCCCCAAATACAATAAACTCCTGCTTTGCACTTTGAACTCTGCGCTTCAATGCCTCCATCGCGTTCACAGAGACCGCAATGCGAATTCTGTGGTTTCTGAATCTCGGGCATTCACACAAATCACTAAATATGGTTAAACATCAAAGAGGCTTATCGCGTGTCCAACGACGGTAGATGTTGATTTTTAGAGGCTGTGTAGGACAAGAGGGCAGTCAATGCGTCAGACTTTCATGCTTATAATGCACTCGCTTATCAGAAAATTAAGTCAACTAACCACCAGTCCGGAAATCTTTTTAAAAGCACTAATTAAATGGGTTTTGGCTATTTATTTTCTAACTTTCATCATTATTGTGAGCTTAATTACTTGTTATTTCATCAATAGTGAGGAAATAAAATATTTAAGACATTCCAACACACAAGTCTATATCCAGAAGCCACTGGATAGGGTGGGGGTGGACTGTGCCGCCTTCTGCACCGCACATCCAAGATCTGGGACTCCTCGGGTTTTCCATCTGACCAGCCCTTTGACGAAATTACTTGGCGATAATGCATTGGCAGTGGTGCACAAGCACAAATAAAAACAAAACAAAAATAAACTAAAACTCACATTCAACAATGCCGCCTTATTATCTTGTTTCACTCGAATGTGGCTAACAAACTAGGGAATGCAATTCGAATTAAAAAGCATCGATTGATGGCCAAGAGATGCCGCTGCTGCTGCTGCTGCTGCTGCGAGGATGACAGGAGTTTGCGTGATGATGGTTTATTCTCCTTGGCACGAGATCAGCAAGGTGTCATGGTTCATTTGTGGCAGTTGCACCGCCTGTACGCGATAACGGTGGAGGGGGGGCTCAACCGTCGACGCGGCCACCCGGGCCCCACGTTTGCCGTGAGGCACCACGGGGGCCAGAGGGCCTCCCCACGGCCAGGGCCTCCGCACGGTCAGCGTGGGCAGAGGCCGACTAGTGGCTTGACGAGAACACGAACAAATATTCGAGCCCGCGTTTCGCTTTGGCCGCAATTTGCATTAATTTGGCTCCGAGCGGCTCAACCAGCCTGCAAGCCGGCAGATTCAATCACCTCCAAGATCTAAACATGGCAAATCGCATGTTAATCAGGAGCATAATGGCACAGGGATTGAGAATCTAATTTGTATGTTGAATGGCGGTACAGGACTCTCTATACGAGAGCGAGCGAATAACGTGCGGTGGCGCGTTACAAGTGGACATGATTAGTATCATTCAACAAAGACCAGCATGGTGAAGTATGGTCAAACTAAACCTTACGTGCAACAACACAACATGGAGACATTTTCATCCAGCAGTGGAAAACGTAGAACTTACAGTAACCAAGACAACAGAGGATGCATGGAAAATAAATCGGTTTACTTTTGTATATGAATGCGTAGAACTCATGACGTGTATATACAAAGTCTCTAAGACATCAATTCGCTTAAATCTTTGTCACTGCCCCATGAGTTGAGAATTATTGTCCAAGTATATACGTAAGCAAATTTACGACCATTTACAAAATAATTTGCAAACGTGTCAATGTTTTTGTCATAAATTATATTTGCACGTCTAAAGGACAAGAGAAGCTCTAACGAAATTTAATTGTGCATTTAAAAACAAACCTTTCAATTTGTTGACAAAACCGACATCTTTTTTATTCTCCTTTAAACCGACCACGATTAAAACAGCAACAGCTCGGGGAATTTCATATTCACTTTGTTCTATGCAGCTGACCCCTGCCCCTTCATAACGTAAACGGCTCCTCACAAGAATAAGTAAACCTAACATTGCTTGCAGGAAATCCTCTCGCGATGAAAACATTCCAATTACACTTTGTGACTGTGAGAGTGGAGAGACAGCCTACGAAGCTGTTGTTTGTATTTCCCACAGAGTTTTGCCCTCCGAGTGGCCGCCCTCATGGCCCATTCCTGCAGGCCAAGTCTGGCACAATTGCAGGTTTTGAACTTTAGATAAGTGGTGGCCGATATGTTGATCGCGATTCAGGGGTGGATGATCGAAAAAAATGGTGGTTGTGGATCTCAGGACAAGTAAGAACAAACACCTCTAATATAAAGTAATTCTCGTTATAGTCGATGGCAAATAAGAATCCCTGACTAAGAATTAATGGATTAAGGACATAATTTTTCTACCAATAGATCGCACGAGCACTTGGCATGTCTGTCGTGTTATATTATTCGGTTAAATCCATCCGGGTAACTGTTGGTCATAGCATTCTGGTGGATCACGGAACATGTTGAGATATACCAGAATGGATCACAGTGCTTTGTGGTTAGTCAATAAACACCACCAATTCAGTAACCAATATATTTTGTGAAATCACCTTCATCACAAGGGGGTCAGTGTCTTGGCTGGTTAAGAAGTGGGCATAAGCTGTCCTAAACTATGAATACATCATGACGCTTATATACCTCACCTGACTGTTTGTCCTGGTTGGCAAGGTTAAAATTGTAAATTTAAGAAAATTGCGCCACTCTTTCAACCGCTGCGATGGGAAAACGAACCAGTAACTTCTGGATTGCAAGTTCAGAGTGCAAACCGTCCGTTACTTCAGGGTAGCGTTTCTCATAACCGCCACTGACTTTTTTTATTGTGCACCTCTGCTTGCGAGCACAATGTACACTTAATTAACTCTGCAGGTGTAAAACCCAGAGTGTGTGCCCACTCATGCACCTCTTACCTCTTGTGGACACCGCATGCATGATGCACTAGTACTGTCTGGGTTTTTTAGGCCGGGGAGAAGGCGAGCCCCATGGGGTGGACTCCGGAGGGTTGTAGCCTGGAATCTGTGACAGCGGACACACAAGATGGCACAAACGTACAACAAAGTTGAAGATCACCCAAATGAGCCTTAACAGACTGTGCTGCTGTTAGGCGACATGGCCCACCAGGAGGTGGGTGGCCAGCACCACGCGCATGCAGCCACCTCTGTCTCCCCTGTGCTCATGTATACACACTGCACCAGGTACTCATTTAAGACAGAGTTTACCTAGGATAGGCACAACACCGGTTCAGATAAGGCAGACTATCTGCCTCAGCAGCTGACCCCTTCTCTTTTGTTCTTCCTGATGACGAACGCTTGTGTTGCGATCGAAACGTCGTAATTTGTTCTTGTTTTTGGTTATTTTCTTTGAACCTATCTACGTGACGTTACCGAAAGACCCAAAGTATATGAATTCCTGCAGTCACGAAAGCTTTAAGTCAAGATTTATTATTACATTTGTTTACCCTGAAAAAACTCAAGACTCTTCTTCATGAGGGTCCTGCAAAGTTTTTGCCGTCGCTGTGTAGTCCCAATTGAGTAATTTGCAGGTGATTTTTCATTATTTGGATGTTTTGCCCAATGCTAGACTCGTTGTATTGGGTATTTTTTGACAATGGGAGGAAACTAGAGAACGCGGAGGAGACTCAGAAGAGGGGGAGAACATACAATCATCACACACTCACACATTCACGTTAACTCACTCGCACACACCCTCACTCAAACACTCCATTGCACTTACACACTCTGATGAACAGGGGGAAAGATGCCAAATCCACGCAGAAACGCGGTCGAGTCAGCAATCAAACCCAGCTTTCTTGCTGCAAGGCGCAAAGGGTTACTTACCAATGTGCCACTCTGCCGCCCATGGCGACACGTAAACTACATCAATACCAGTTTCCACAGACTCCCTTTCATATGTACCCTGCGCCAGGGGGACACTGGGGGCAGCTGCCCTTTTGTAGCCGCGGCCTTGCAAGCGGGCTTTAGGCTGCCAGTTTGTGATGTTATTAGGCGGCTTCCCCAATGGAAGAATTTGCGAGTAACTTCCTCAAATTTGGATAATTACGCCGCACAACACTTTGGCGACACTCTTTCTAGAATCATGTACGTGTTCGCTCTAACAGTGTCGACTGCGAAGCAGACTGCGGTATTAACCAGAGCGGCCACCGGCCTTGAACCGAGACCCTCTGCAACAATTTGATAAACACGCTGCGGTTAAAGTTTATCAGAACGGAGAATACATTCGTTTAAAGAGTGCATGTTTGATCGTGTTAGTTGTGTAAGATGTATGCTGTGAATTATGCTGCAAAACAGTTTGATATTATAGATGTTTCGTTGATCGCATGCCGTGTTAAATATGTATACGCTTTGGTTCTTTCGGTAAAGTCACGTAGGTATAAAATAACTTTACCGAAATAACCAAAAAGTTTGGATCTCTGCAGTCACGAAAACTTCAAATCTAGATTAAATATGTATACTTGAATCCAAACAATAAGAAAGATTTTAATTGCTTGCTTTTGCATAGAGATTTGATTTAATAGAATAAGCGCCCACGTACAAATGAGCAACATCTCATAATACAAATCAAATTCCTCTCTCCAATATTATACATTTTCAAGAAGTAAAATTTCAAGGGGTATTTCATTATATGATGTGACTCCAGAACCTCACTTTGGTTTTTCGGAAAAATCATATTTTATATATTTTATCGTCTATATTTCGTCTTTTGACCTGGACGTGTACGGGCCGGATAGACCACGTGCTGAACGTGGTACGTGTGGGCTGCCTACGGCCACTCGCTAAAGAACCGCCGCCGAGGTTGCCGAGCTACACACACCTTTCCTTGTTAGCGTCACAGCTGCAGAGGTTCATTCACTTTTGAAGGTCCTCCAGCTTCGCAGATCCTCAACAACTCACAACAGTGGAGTAAATTTACCTACGGGATGATGACCGTTATGATCAGGATACTGTAATGGCATTGCTCTTGCTGCTGCTATCAATATTAATGTTGTTTCTGATGACGATGTTGTGGCTGCTGCTGTAGCACTCAATGTAGGAATCAAATAAATGCAGTGCTCGTATAACGTTTTGATAACTGTCAATGCAAAGGGGAACGTATGAGTTTAATGTCAGTATTCAATAACATCTGGAGAAGCAAGCAAATCTGTTGCAAGACCAAGCTGAACATCTTAAGAACATGCGGGTTCAGTAACACCTTTGTATGCCTGCGAGACTTGGGCATTAAAAAAGACTAACAGAGATAAGATACTGTCACTCGAAATGTATTGCTACAGAAAGATGCCGCATCTAAGCGGGACCCAAAGAGTGACAACCGTAGAAGTGAGAAAAAGGTTGCACATAGAAGAAGACAACCTGATGATGATACAGGCAGTGATGGGAAGGAAACTGGCACTATTTGGACAACAGGAAAATTAAAAGTGTGTTGTTCAGAAAAATGGAAGGAACCGGAAAGAGAGGAAGAGCTAACAGATAATGGTTTGACGACGACATCATTAAGAGATTGGTGCCAGAAGATGTAGCCACTACCTGAGACATATTGGCACTACAAGACAGAGAGGAAAGTGGAAAGAACAAATGACGAAATGTGCAATGGACACCTACTACTACGAGCTATCTGCCCATGGAGTTTAAATTCACTTTTGCACCACATTCCCCTGACGAACGTGCAGTATTTGCCCCACGTAAGGTTCGAGGGTTAACGCCACTGGTAAAACAAGTCACAGCAACCTGAACCGTTAACAAGAAAGGTAAGTTTGACAATGCGAGAGGATGACCCAGATTCGTGGCATTGTTGCTAATGCTGACATTATCCCGACTTGCTGCTAATGATGACGATGTCGCTGCTGCCGATGCTACTTCTGTTTTTGATCATATAACTGCTGCTGATGATGATGCTGATGATGATATTGCTGTTTTTGATCATGTAACTGCTGCTGTCACACTGGATGTAGAAATGTACGATATGCTAAATTAAGTTTATTCTAAATTTAGGAAACAGAAAAAATGTAAATATGGAGTTTCAGTTACATTTTGCATTAACGTGCAGTCATTTCCCTATGCAAGGCTCCAGGCCAAAGTGGCGCAGAAGAAATCTCAGTGAAGTTATCTGGCTTTGTGCATGCACAACAGCTGATGTCAAGTACCCCCCCCCCCCCAACCCTCTGCGTCGGCCGTGTATCCCGCGCAAATCCATAGAAAGGAAGCAGGGTCTCGGGCATGACCACCTCAGCAGTACTTAATTCAGCTCACTTGGTTTCTATAATTAAGGACATTTCACTATCTCCAGATTATTTGCTTGTCAGCTTCGATGTAGTCTCTCTGTTCACCAAGGTAACTGTACCTAACACCAAAGCAATCATTTAAGACTTGGTCCAACAGGGACTGAATCCTGATGTACCAACTTTGGTGAGGAACTGCCTTACCAACACTTACTTCATCTGGAATGGTACATTCTACAAACAAAATTAAGGTACCCCTATGGGTTCTCCCTTATCACTAGTGGTAGCGAATGTTTTCATGGATAAATTTTAAACATATGCCATTCTGACATCCACCCTACGTCCTTCCCTGTGAAAGAGATACATAGATGACACTAACCTTCATCTGGCCAAAAGCGCCAGCCAGCATTGAACTCGTTTTTCAACCACATCAATTCCATCCACCTGAAGTACCGGTGAAGACACTTGACGCCGAGGTTGAGGCACACGTATATTTATTTAACACAACTCGTTCGTGGCATACAGCATTGGAGGGGGTATCGGCCCCCTCACCCGACTAGCTAAGGATACACTTCCTAGCTAATCCTAGCCTGCCTCTTAGTCCTCCACTAATGGGCTAGGGGAGGCTGTCTGGCCCGACACTGGTAAGTCGGGCCCGGTACCCGGAGTCCCAGACCAGCTCTTACAAGAGCACCGGCTCTGGCTCTCGGGACCACGCCGCTGGCTCAGTCCTGTTCGGCCCTGATAAGGACATCGAACGAGGGGAGTCCAGGGCTCTGTCTAAGACGTCTTCAGTCTTCTCTGGTTAGCTTTTAACATAACTGACTCGAGCCCTTATAACATCCCCTTTTATACCCAACCCCTCCTTGAGGGGTGGGGCCCCGGGGGATCATAACGCCGAACCAGCCCCCCCCAGGGTGTCTGGCTCGGACGTCGCAGAGGGCATCTCCCCGTGCACACACGTAGCCCCGCCCACTGTGTTTGTTTCCCATAGACTGCCATGCATAACGGGCCCTCTCTTTAACACCCCTACATCACCCCCCCCCCCCCCCCGCATAGCTCGCAGCCGTCCCGGCTGCCAACATACAAAATGACAATAAAAATGAATTTATACCGTAATCGCGCGTGTGCCTCACTAATTTTCAACAATAACAAGAACGGCAACAAGAACACAACAAAATGCAACAGCAAGAAGAGAAAACAACCTGACGCACCCCCCCTTTGAATAAATACGAATTCCGTAAAAAAAAAAAAACAACCTATATACAATTTGCAGGGAACCCACCATACACACAACACCAGGTGAACCCAACGTATGTACATTTCAATGGGCAGGGAACACACCACCCACACAACACACAATGAACACAACCTATATACACATCTTCCGGCCTCATAACAGTCTGCGCATTTTTGCGCGCGTCCTTGCAGCGGGCCCCTCACACGGGGTAACCCCGGGTGGCGGACCGTCAGGTGGCAATTGTCCGTCCCGGAGTGAGACCTCCTCCGATGCCGCGTGACCGTTGGTATCCCCAGAAGGGTTGGTCGGGCGTGAGCCCGTCAGTCTTGATGCACCTGGAGGTGGCACGGCCGGCAAGGCATTAGGTGAGAACGGCGGAGACGGACCCAGTGAGTCGGTCGACCCCCCACACGTTTGGCCACGCATGTGTGAAGTGGGTTTGTGTACCGCAACGAAGGGTTTTAACCTAGAGGGGTGCACGAACCATCGCCGCTTCCCCCATTTAATGCGCACGCACTGTGGTCGCAAAATTTCGACCACCTC